GGATTTCTGGAAACAACTGGAGTTACAAATGTGGTGACTCGCCAAGTGGGTGTTGGGAGCTGAATCCAGGTCCTTTGTAAGAACAGCAAATTGAACTAATCACTAAACCATCTCCTCGGGAGCCTCCCCCTCCCACCCACCCCCCATCCCCGAGTCTACTGCTTCCCCAAATGGATTGAATCAAAACAGGAGGAAACTGCCTACTGTGCACAGTGTGCATATTTGCAGGGAAGGAGATAACAAAATTCCGCTTCCCCCCTTTTTCCTTTTGGGGCAGGCCCCAGGAGAGCAGCTGTTCTCTTAGGTGGCTGTTGAACGTTAGCAATAAAATTATGCTGAACCAAGTGACGTAGGAAAAAGTTGTTCCAAATAAATTTGCGTCGATTAGAATCTGCAGGTGGCCTAAAGCATGCCTGTGTTGGGAGCCAAATTATTCAGCACTGGAACCTTTTGAAAAGAGAACAAAGCGCCTTTCATTGCTTGGATTCTGAGCACAGCTTAGTACTTCATTAGAAACCTCTTAGCTCGCCCCAGGAACCTTTCAGATTTAATTATGAGGTGGGGTAAAGCCCCCTCTGCTCAGAACATCACACTGCAGCATTTTATTCTGTTTCCTGGGAGACCTCCAAGTTTTACAAACTGCAGAACTCACTGGTGGCTATTTAATATCTTTCCCCTAAGATCTGAGATCAGGCTAAATCAAAGCAAACATCTCAGCCAATTTGAATTCTGAAATGAAAATTACAAAGAACTCAAGGGCAACAGAGTTGAAGACAAAGAAACCCGAGTCCCTTCTATGGCTCTACAGCCTTCTGCTTACAGGTGGCTGTCAAGCTTGTTTTCTCCTCTATTAAAAGGAGGAGGTGTCTAACTAAACATCACAACTCTACACTGTGACTGGTGGTTAAATCTGCTAGCATCACTCCACCTTAGTCATTTTGGGGATTGCAAAGGCGCTTCAAAAGCATTTGGAGAGGTGGACCAGTGGATGGAGTGTTTGCTATACATCATGAGAACCCTGGCTTGATCTCTAGCATCCATGCAAAAAAGCTAGAATGTTGGGAAGCATCTGCAATCCCACTGTAATCACAGATTTGGGGCAGGTGGATCCCTGGAGCTCACTGGCTCCCCAGCCTAACCAAATAAACGAACTTCAAGTTCACAGAGAAATTCTGTCTCAAATAATAAGGTGAAATTAACCCAGGATCTCTACATGTACCCGGACCTTCACCTACACACGTTTCTCACACATAAACATACATTCCAAAACACACAAATCTGTGCATGAACAGGTCACACATCTAAAACTACAGCATATAATTACTGCGGCAGAGATGTTTTAAATTTCAGTGTAAGGGCGCTACTTAATCACTGAAAGCCATGTGTAACTGAACCCATAGACTTCTCATGAATGTTTCACTAGAATTGGCTGAAATAGGAGGGCCAAGGCAACATCATATCACTCTGGAGGCCAGCATGCTAGCCCAGCATTTGGAAAGACCATTCCCCATTCAAGCTTAGATAGGAAAGCTGACCCTGCTAAATAATGGTCCTGGCATGACTCCTTCAATTCCCATGCCTGGGTATGTGCCTTAATAATGTATGTGAGTTTAAATGGCAACCCCTACAGACTCTTGGGGACAAAGCATTTTCAGAGGCTCAGCTGACACAGGACTTTCAAGATATTCACTGACAGAACTTTCTCTCCATGAGCAGAGTGTCAGGCTGTTTGACTGTTTGAAGAGGAAAAGAAAGCAAAAGAAAAAACAAAACAAACAAACAAACAAAAAAACCCTAAAAGATGAGTAAGTCTTGGATCTCAAGTCTCAGGTTAAAGCTCTGAATCCTAAAATCAATATTCTTTTTACACGCATCATAGGAAATATATTGACAATAGAATATTAGAGAAAAAAATCAACTTTTCAGTTTCCTCAATTCAATTCAGAAGCTAGAAGCTGGGGAGGGAGCTCAGTGGGTAAGTGCTTGCTGTACAAGTGTGAGGACTTGAGTTCGGATCCTATCATCTACTTACAGCTGACGATGTGCCAGAAAATGTGTATTCTCAATGCTCCTATATATAGACATGATGTAGAGACAGGCTATCCTGGCTTAGGCAGCGATGAAGAGCAAGAGATGCTGTGTTAAACAAAGTGGAAGGTAAGGAATAACATGGAACATTTTCAGCTGACTTCCGCATTTATGCCTGCAGATACACACACGATAATAAAAGAGACAATGAACAAGAAAGGCTAACAAGTCAGACAGGACACGCAAGAATCTGGTCCAAAGCCAGTGTTCCAAGATTCTCTCAAGTAAATCCAGTTGACAATGAGTTCTTTAATTTTGCCAGCGTGTGTTGAAAATCAGGTTATATCTCCCTGTCTATATTATCTATCTGTATCAACTATATCATCTATATCCACATCGACATACACACACACACACACACAGAGAGAGAGAGAGAGAGACAGAGACAGAGACAGAGACAGAGACAGAGAGACAGAGAGAATGGACCAAATCGGCATGGTAGAAAACCTCCTTACTCTATGATAGACAGTAACCAACTCTTGCATTTTCCTGACTGACCAAAATAGAGAAAAAAAATGGCAAGGGCATCTGCCTGTGGTGATGTTTTATTTTTATTCATGGACTTTGAAAATACTAAGGTTTCTCTTTGTCTTTTCAAGTGTATAGAAAACATGCTGTGTTCACATGGTCACAAGACATACTTGTATATTTCATTTCAGAGGTTGTGGGTTTTACTAATTGTATTATTAGACACTGTGTTTTGTTATAAGAGGTACAGAGGAGTGTATCTAAAGGTGTAAGGTGTGACAGAGTCCTGTTTTTATAGTCACTTGAGTCAGTTGGATTATTGGCTGCATGTGTAATGCACCCAGATCCAATTACCAGATGTGGCAACACACTGGTGAATTTTCATTGTTTACTTGTTGTAACTCAGAGTCACCCGAGAAGGAAGTTTGGCTGAGGAACTGTAGCTCAGGTTGGCCTGTGGGCATGTCTGTGAGGGATGGTTTTGACTGTTAAGCAAAGTGGGAAGACACACCCCGAATGTGTGTGGCACTGTTTCCTGGGCTAGCCCTGAACTGCAGGAGAGAGAGAGAGGGAAGCTAGCTGAGCGTAAACAGTATAGAGAGGAAGCAGGGATCCATGTGCTTCTTTGTGCTCTTGGCAGTGAGTGTCATATGACCTACTTCAAGTGACTGCTGCTATGACTTGCCCTCAACAATGGACTGGGACCTGGCATTGTGAACCAAATAAATGCTCTTCCCCTAAATGCTAAATGGGTTCTTCTTCTTTTGTTTTGTTCAAGACAGGGTTTCTCTGTATTGTTTTGGAGGCTGTCCTGGAACTTGCTCTGTAGACCAGGCTGGCTTTGAACTCACAGAGATCCGCCTGCCTCTGCCTCCCGAGTGCCAGGATTAAAGGCGTGTGCCACCACCATGTGCCAGGCTGACAAAAGTCCTCTTATCTCTTCTCATTTCCCAACTCAGTCATGAAACAAAATGCCTGCAATTGGTGCATCTGGTAACTGAGATTCTAAATCATTCAGAAATAGTGAAGCTACTTATCAGCTCTATCTCACAGTGAAAACATCTTTGTGTGATATCTGATTGCCATACATTCACTCTCCCACTGTCTCTGTTATGATACAGGTAGCTATTTAGTGCCCAACCTAGCAAATTGAGCTTGGGTATGTAGTTTATGAGAAGCACAAAATCCTCTAAATCCAAGGCAGAACCCACCCCTGGAAAATCTCACCAGGGCTGAATTTTATGACTTACTGGGAGCTGTGTTATTTTCACAGGTTTCTTCCTCATTCAGTGTTTCAGCATCTTCCTCCTCTTCTTCTGGGTCATCAGTGTCCCCTGAATCATCGCTGTCATCCACCCATTTTCCTGGCATGAGACCCGCAGAGTCATAGGAGTGGCATAGAGGACCCACAATGTGTGAGATAAAGGATTCTTGAAGGTTGGCCAGCTGCGGGGCAGAGCGGTCCATGAAGGGGCTGATGGGCAAACCAAGGCTGGCTTCTTCATCACCCTAGAAATGGGGATTCACAAAGATAAATGACAGAGGAGCATAAATAAACATAAGACAAGCCAACATTCAACTGGCATTTAATGTGTGGATACTCCATAACAGAGTCATATAAATCCCTTGAAGTCATTGCTCAGAGTCATTGCCGATGACTAATATGTCCACAGAAGGACTTTGCTCCTGGTATTTTGTAACTGTGCAGTCTTGCATTTTTGGTTCACTTTTTAAAAAGGGCATGTAATGAGATTACTGATATGTACCGCTACTTCAGTGGAGCTGGGGTTCGAACTGAAGGCTTCCTGCACACTAGGCAGCAAGCACCAGATGAGTCACACCACCCTATTATGTTTGTCTCTCTGCCTTTGACTACTAGAAAGCATCAACTATTTTCTTGCCCCATTCAAATTGCTATATTACTCCAGATTTTGTTTAATTTATAATCTGTGATTATGTTTTAATACTCTTACTTATTACAGTATCTTTTGCTTTCATTGCCTTGAATATTGATGAGAATAAACATAACAGCTCATAAACAAGAGGTTGCCTTGAAAACTTAAAAACTTAATCAAATTATAAGCCAGGGTATGTAGATTTTCCTTTTCTTTCATGTTTTTCTGTATTTTAACACTTTACCATTGATTGATAATGCCATTACTAGTAAAGGCAATGCACTATTTTTTGAAAGCATAGATACTTTATTTTGCATATGAATGCTGACTACATAAAGCTTAAAAGTTTATTACAATCCCTATTTAAGTACCATTAATTATACCTGGTTGGGGACCTTTAATGCTAACAACTTTTATTTTCTGCTATTGATCTGAGTGGTCTGTCCCAGTGACATGGACATACTTGTTACAGTCACACCCTTTTCTTCTATGATCTGACCTCACCCTGCAGCCCCAGGAGGTCCCGCCTCAGCCTCTCCATGTTGGCATTCCAAGCTTGTGTCACCATGCTGGCTTGGCCTGTGGTCTAGGGCACTCAAGAAGGATCTAGCATTTCTTTTGGATCAGCTCTGTCATAAGCACTTGAGAGGATTTCTCTGCTCAAACTCCACAGCAATGCTCTGATAAACCTATTTTTGAAGTTCTACATGTGGCTTTTAACATTGGACCACAGTCTATCTGTCATCGATGCCCCCCCCAGTCTGTCATCTCTATCCCCCATCCCCCACAGAGTAAACACCTTTGTTGTGGGAACTGTTCTTGTATCAAGTCTAGAGTCTACACACACACACACACACACACCCTTTCATGTACTGCTGTTATTTAGCTCTACCAGAAAGCAGTCAATTTATGTTTTCTAATACTAAAGCTACTTTTACTATGATAAACAGACCTGTAGCAATTCGGCACTGAAATATTGTTCATAACAACTCACTAGATTATTCTACTATACTGACATGTCTCTCTAAAATGCCTAGTGAAAATTTTACCTGGGTATTCAAGAATTTAGTTCATTTTCATGTGTCATTTTTAAATTCCTGCGAAAACTGTTCTCTCTCTCTCATATATATATAAATGTATGTGCGATGCACATGCCTGCGTGTGTGTGTGTGTGTGTGTGTGTGTGTGTGTGTGTGTGTGTGTAAGATGGAGTGATCATGCTGTCATGGCTTGAGGGAAGCTTTGGTGACATTGTACCCAGCAAGAACATATGGCTTATGGTGGATGATGCAGCTCTGTGAGTTACCTGCTCATAAAACTCACTGGCGATGCCCTCTGTCCACTTCAGGTGGAGTTCTTTACATTTAGCAGGCCCGTTAATGTCAGCCAACTTTATACACATCTGACACACCAGGAGACGATCGTTTTCATTGGTCCAATCTATCCCAACTTCATCGTTCACCTGTTTGAGGGACAAAATTAACATGTTCTATCTCCATGATTGCTCAACTAGAACATGAGAGGCGACAATAGAATCTTATTGTCTTCTTTTTGTGCGGGAGTAAGAACATCAAACATCAGAACTTTTGATACTGGAACTAATATCATTGGCTTGCACTAAAAAAAAAAGTGATGCAGCTCACCCGAAATTAATGCAGTCAGCAAAAAGTTGCTATTCCTGAACTCACAAGAAATCCTGTTTGAAGTTAGCACATAGTTTCAATTTCTATTAAATAACAAAACTACAATAAGGTTTCTTTTGTATGTGTATGTATAAATGTATTTGCAGGAGTGGTGTGTGTGTGTGTGTGTGTGTGTGTGTGTGTGTGTGTAGGTCAGGGATTAGCCTCAGACCTCAGGTGTCTTTCCTCATGAGCCACCACCGTGCTTTCAGACAGGGTCTGTCTCTGACTACCCAGCTGGCTACTGAGACATGGGAGGCTCCAGTGTTGGCCTCCCCACTGCTGAGGCAATTGCATTATGCATGACCACTGCCATGCTCAGTTTTTTGTTTGTTGTTTTAAATGTGGGTCCTTAAGGTCAACACTTAGGTCTTCCTGCTGACAAAGCAAACACTTTACTGACTGAGGTTTCTTCTCAGGAACAGATAAGAAACTTTCTTGAATGAATAGTTGGGCTTTTATGCTTGACACATGAAGTTTTGCTTCAAGTTTTCTGTCCTTTCTATTCCTGTCAGATAGTTTACCTCATGTACTCTAGACATGCTTATATGCTACATCAAACAAAGCAGCAGTGATAGCTAATGTTTCTCATTCTATAAAACAAAGTCTAACACACAGCCAAGGTGACTTTTTACGCCAGCTTGGGAAAAAATAATTCAATCACTTCCTTCTCACATAAAGCTCATGGCAACTGAGTTTTGTCTACTACTTTGGACACAAAACACCTCTTAATGTGTCCACAAGATGAACGCTGGTAGACATCTACTTACCTTGGCATTAAATTTGGCTACAAAGTCAAAGTGTTTCTTCAGGTCGGTAGCCAAAATTGCTTCAATGACTAGGAATCGGAAATGCTTAAATTCCACATGGTCCAGGTTACCTAAGAAGTTATACTCTGGCCGGGACATGAAGAGATTCCATGCTGCAGCTGCATGATGATTCTCCAGAACTGAACGGTCATTGTACAGTACCGCCTAAGGTGAAAGGCAGGAGAAGGGAGAGTCCAACTTCTTAAGTTAAAAAGGAATCACAAAAGTCTGTGAGGATACGGAAGGCTTTAAATTTCTCATTTTGGTGCTGGCTATTAAGAATCATTGCATTATTGTGACTATAATGCCTTTTCTTGGGCGATGTTGTTTTCTGACATATAAGTTTCTCCCCTTAAAACTTTTTTCTGAAAATTATTATATATAATTATGTATATATTATAAATTATATATAATATCTTCTTTAAGAAAATTTTTGTTTGAGGAAACACTGTTTAGATCAAAAGAATTATCCCCAGTGTATAAGATAAAGAGACAGTAAATACATGCACTAAGAAGCAATGTTGCCACGGAAATATTTCAAAGACTAAGTTTTACATACAAAGTACTATAGTCTTAAAGGACCAAGGAAAACATCGTTCTTCAACCTTTTCAGAAAGGGATGTGTATGCAAGCTGTCTTTGCTATGTTGAGGATACTCACACTTAGTCATTTGAGTCCCTCCTAAGATGGCAACAGAGAAACTGTCTTTCTCTGTGATGAGGTTGAACATCGGCCACGAATAACTTGGCCTAAACCATGATATCTTTGGAATTAACAAGACCTCCAAGAATTTTAACTGAGGACTAAGTACAGGTTGGTTCCTACAGACCTAGGGTCTCTTAGACGTCACGTTTGTAAAATTAATTTTATTCCAAGAAATGCATACCGTAAATAATTTTCTCCTCGTGAAAATGTAACCTTTACCTGAGGAGCACTGGTGGCAACCAGGAAAGCATTCGTCCTCCCTGGGTGATCGTAGTCATGCATGGCTGCAGCGACATACAAAGCCATCAACTCTAAGGCGGGGATATTTCCAGACAGACACCCATATTTGTCATCTGACACATGATACGTTTTTGAAAACACATATCCCATGTGTCCGTGGATAAATCCACTGTCAGAATCTGGGGAGAGGGAGTGAAAAATGACAGGAAATCTTAAAAACTGTAAAACTGGAATCATCTTTCTGATTTCTTCTGAAAGCAAAGTGCGTGACCCCCCCAGTTCCTGGCTTTTACAAGAAGTGCAGGCATAATTCATACACACCCGAGTCGCTTGCTGATCCATGATCACTAATGACACTTGGGAGGCCAGGGATTGGCTGCGTTGTGAGATACCAAACAGCATGTAAAACATCTGTGGCGTGGATTCGGTTATGATCTGAAACAATGCAAAGAAGGCACATCAGCTGGTGAACTCTGGGGTTCAAGGGTGGAGAGTGCCATCTACTGGATAAACACTTCTGTCTGCACATATTAACTCTCCAGGGGAGGCATGCCAGACTGCCCTGGACATGCACTTCTGGAAAATTCTTCCACCAATTCCATTATGTCCACAGTAACAAGAAATCATACCCACAGCATTTATCATGCATGCAGATATCCAAAGTGGAAAAGTCAATGTCTGATTTTTCTAGAAGTGTATGTACGCAGGAAACTCAACGTGTTGTGTTTGTATTTCTCTCTCTTTGTTCCTGTACATGAAATACTACATAGAGATGCAGAAAGAAAGACCTAAACTACTCAGACCAATGGTCTCAATGACCAAAAAGTCATCTCAGATTAATGGCATCTTCTTCCTTATTTACAACAAAGATGCCCAGCAGAAGGGACAAGTGACAATATCAAAATTCCACACATCCTCTTTTACCATTAGGAACCAACAAATGTCCATCAACGTCAATCCTCACCAAGCAATCATAGATTTTTATCACACTTGTACAAATAAGTTGCCTATGTGGACTATACTGCTGTTTCATGGTTTCTCCCTTAATCTCTGCCTTTTTATAACTGCATCTGGATGAACTCAGACTAACTTGCATGACAGCTAACTTTTATGCTCCCATGTGCCCTGAATGGAGTTAGGGGTGGACTCTGATTAAAGACTTAATCTCTAAGATGTGAACAGAGTCTCAAGTCACAGTCCGTCTGATTCCATTTTCACGTCCCTTCCATGGTTTTTTAATATTAATTGTGGATTCGTTTACAGAAAGCCATAAGACACATAATTCTTCAGGAGTGTCAATGCTAAAATAATTGGATCAGTGAATGTCTGTAGTTAAAACTATGACCAGGAAAGCTTTTATTAGTGTGTTCACATTAACCTAAGTGTCAGTGTTCAACAGAGAGGAAATATTATATTTCTAAGCAGCACAAATCAAGCTAAAGCTTTCCTAGGAGATGGAAACAAACTCTTTTGTGGAAATGCAAGGAGCCAAGAGACCTTGGAAAGTGTAAGCAGTTTTATTGTAATTTTTTTGTGTGTAAGTGTATACACACCTACACACAAGCACACCCTGGAGGCCAAAGGAAAACCTTTGGAAATGAGTTCTTGCCTTCTACCATTGGGCTCAGGGACGAAGCTTAGGCCGTCAGTTCTGATGGCAAGCATCCTTATCTACTGAGCCAACCTATTTGCCCTGTAAGTATCCTTACTACATACATTATTTTCACATGGAGTGGACAGCTCCATGGTTTCCAAGAATAAATTATTTACTCATCTAAAAATAGAAATAAAAAACGTAAAACGATAAGTTTAGACTCTGGAAGCTTCCTTTTATACTTGAGTACTGGCCTGTCCTTCCCACTGTCTCACATGACGCTACAAAGAGCAATGTGTTCTAGGTTTCAGCAAAGCAGCATGGCCACATCGCAGTCTTCCTATGCAATGTGGCATCTAAGTGAATTCACTGAAACCTGCTGATGGAAAAACAAAATAAATTTGTGTATAAAACAGCGACTTGCAAATCCTGTCTGGTGCATAACTATACTTTAGTTTTCCTGGGCTGCCTTCCTGAAAATGTTTATTTATGTAACTCCTTAATCCCTGTGAAATCACTAACATTTATGTCACTTGTTGGCATCTGACCAGACTGAGCCCTGGGAAAGTCACATTAAAGGAAGCCAGGCTTATAGCCAGATTCCCCCCCGCCCCCACCCCCCCACCAACCCCCTTCTCATGTCTCTCTTCCAACTTCCACGGTCTGAGCAGCCAGACTTTCCCAAAGGACCCGGTACCACTAAGCATTCCCCCCCACACCGCCAATTTTGCCTGTGCTTGATCTTGTATCCCTCAGAATCTCCCAGTGGCACACTATGGGCTATGCATCTTCACGTGAGTATACCATGTGTATATCTTAAAAGCAGCATCCTGCTCACTAGGCTAGCATGTCCAGCTTGTTCAGAGATGCTGGCCAATTATTTGTGTCATAGTATAAGCATTTCTAAAATTTAACTTTATTTTTTTTTTTGCCTTAAGGCAGGGTGTCTTTCCCTAGAGTTCAAGATTGTTTTGAACTCATTATGTGGTCCAGGATAACCTTGCATTTCTGATCCTATTGCCTCAGCATCCTGAGTGCTGAAAGTACAGACATGTGCCACCAGATTTTCTACTTGCTAGGCAAGTACTTTACCAACAGGGCTACACCCCAGCCCTTCAAGTCTTGATAACTGAAAAAGACACAAGCTTTTGAAGTTCAAAATGTATACAAGCAAACTTAAAAGGGAAAACATGTTTTAAATGACATGCCCAATGTTATTGCACATGCTGTCAGAGTCCACATTCCCAAGATATATTCAAATTAATAGATTGGATAGAATTGGTTTTTCTTCTATGTATTTATTCCTTTGAAAGACCATATGGATGCTATATACTTCTACGGCTCCTTCGGTTGTGTGTTTTGGACATTTTCTTCAGTTCCATACATTCTATAGTACTGTATAAAAATCATAACATAACGTAACAGTGATTAAGCATATTTGACATGACCATTTAGCCTCTCCCTTGCACTCTGTCTTCATTAATTTTCTAGATCGTCAAAACTGAAATTCTTGACTGTGCTCTCATCTTGGGGTTTCACAAGTACCTGACTTTTTAAAACTTCCCCATTACCATGTATATTTCTTCTTTTCTATGCTGTTAACTAAACCACCATCTTCTAGACCCTCTGAGCACTAGCCAGATTTATCTCATCTTGAGGAAACATCAGTTGTTCTTGTTTTAGTTGTTGAACTAATCAGATACCATGATAAAAGCTTAGATTCACTCGATAAAAGCAGGTGACTATTTAATGAGAATACATTTAAATTTAACGTTTAATCTTATCTCAAACAGCTATGAGATATACACAGGGTGCCCATTCTAACCTTTTAAGAAGTACCATCATCCCATTTGATCCTGACACTCATGTGAAACGGATCTCATGACCCTATTTTCAAGATAAAGATATGAGGCTCGAGGAGGTGGGTGAGGCTCCAGGGTCTCACATAACACGCAGCGAAGGAGAGAGGCTTCCAGCTGCAGCAGCCATAGATATAGGGAGGTCGCCCAGATTAGCCAATGACTTGGCTTCCCACCGCTCTCTGAACTGAAGATCTGACAAGCAAGCATTGGATTATCCTACTTATACTCACAAGGAATGTCCCTGTATCCGATCTCCAAAGCATGAAAGTAATTCATGAATTCCCTAACCGGGATTTTAAAGGCTTCAAAGAGACCCATGTCTTCAAACAGTCTGTATGACACCTGAAAAAGGGGAATACAAGACCCTGTAAGAGATCACCCATTGTGCTGGAGATGGTAAAGGTAAGAGTGTACATCCGCCAACCACACTGACGTGCTCCTAGGAGAGATATTCCTATTGGGAATAGTAAACACACTAAAGACTTCTGTGTACTGAGCCCATGGAGGGCCTTACCACAGGGACTATGCCATCTGTATTGAAGGCAATTGCTGCACACCATCTCATAGAAATCCAAAGAAAAACCCCAGTATAACTAAGAACAATGCCCCGAGTCTTAAATTGCTGATTGCTGAACACGTTAAGATAACACACACATGCTAAGCCAGGCCTGGCATCTGCCACCTGCCATCCTAGCATGGGGAGGATATGGAAAGAAGTTTGCCATGGCTTTGACTACATTGCTAGAAATAGAGTCCTTTCTATTACTCTCATTATTACTACCAATACTTGAGTTCTCATATACAAGCACTAAGGGAATTAATGATACCTGCCAGATCTACAATAATTATAGTAACCATGGCAATGATATGTATACACACAGAACCAAATGAGACAGACACATACCCTAATCAGTCAGCACATATTCATTGTTTATAGGTAGTTCTCAGAGTACCTTTTGAGACTGGTACTGTGAGTTCCCAATCTCTGACAGCAGAGGATGCTGGTAAGAGAGAGACTGAGCAACTTGCAGAAGATCTTCTAGTGGGTATAGAGCAGAGCCAGAATCCAAACCATACATGTAGGTTTTAGAGTTTGTAGTCTTAGCCAATTCAAACCTCACAACTACAATTGGGAAATCAAAATGATTAGAACTTCAAATCATCAGAGTTTCCATATGATTAAAAAAAACCAATGTAGGGTCTCACAATGTAGCTCTGGGTATCCTGGAACTCACTATTATGTCAGACTGGCCTCAGACTCACAGAAATCCACCTACCTTTGTCTCCCAAGTGACAGGACTAAAAATACATGACACCATGCCATAGTTCTTGTGAAACCTTTCAAAGATGAACTAAGAGTTAAGACTATAGTAGGCTACTTCAGAGTCAGACTTTACATCAGGGTATTGAAATCAAGGATCTATCAAAATCAACCAGCTAGTATTTCACACAAAATCAACCCAAGTTCATGAAGAAAGGATCATGAACTGGGCAAACTGTGTTCACCGAAAAGAGTAAGTATAATTTCAAAATGTGAGGGCTGGAGAGAAGGCTCAGTGGTTAAAAATACTGAATGCTCTTGCAAGGACCCAGGATCAATTGCTAGCACCCATAGAATCTCACAACCATTTGATACTCCAGTTCCAAGAGATCTAACACCCTCTGCTGGCCTCCACATGTACCAGGCATGCATGTAGGGCACTGACATACATGAGGAAAATAGTAATATACAAAGATAAGAGAAATAAATTGATTTTTACTAAAAAGCCAACATTCAGATGCAAAGAATTCAGCAAGGCCAGGCACTGTGGCCACAGCAATATGATTCTTCAAAAGCCTGTTTGAAGTGAAAGTTGGCCTTGTGGAGTCTCAGACAAAAGGTGATTCTTGGTCTGCCCATGCTAATTAATTCCAGCTGTCCTAACATCTCACTAAAAGTGTTGTGGAAGGTCAAGTCAGGGGCCAGGGGGACCTTTCAATAATCAGAACTTTGGGACTCATCAGCTTAAATGCAGAATCTCAGAAAGGTCTACTTATCAAGACAACTGAAACTGCATTCCCTCAGAAGTTCTATGCTCCATGATGGATCAAGGTGAACGGTAACAGAGAGGGATACAAAGAGTATGCCTTCCTGGATGACTTGTATAATGACATACAAAAGATAAGTGGGTGAGCTTTGAGATCTAACTGTTTTTTTTCAGACATTTATCATGGGCTTGTTATTGTATTCACTTTTAACTTATACACATAATTAGAAAGCATATGCGCAAAATATATTTACAAAATAAAATTTTGTTTGTTTTTATATTTTGCTTTTTATTTACATTAGAAACAAGCTTGTTTTACATGTCAGTCCCCAGTCGCCTCTCCCTCTCCTCCTCCCCTGTCTCCCTGTAATCCCCCATCCCATCTCCTTTCTGCTCCCCAGGGAGGGGGAGACCTTCCATGGGGGATAGTCAAAGTCTGTCATATTATTTGGCTGAGAGAGCATCCCTCTATGTGGAATGGGATCTCAAAGTCCATTTGTATGCTAGGGAACTGTTAATTACCCTAAATATTCCTAATGTCTACTAGTAACCATGATTCTTAAATAGGCGGAACAGCTGAGAGTGTTGTTAATGGATAGAAGCCCATGCTTAGGAAACTGGATTCAATTCAACCCCTAGCAACACAACAGTAAAAATGGTCACTCATACCCCTACCTCTGAGACCATCAAGGGACACCAGAAATTTGCAGTATTGTTTGCTATATTGTCACTGTGTTGAAAAACTAAGCCATCACAGGTCACTTTGCTATGTGGTCATACTTTCTGTTTGGAGGGTTGGATGGTGCTATGAATGAATGAGTTTTATAGGTTTCCACGATGAGGCTGAATATAAAGAATCTGAACGTCTGAGAAGTCTAATCTCATGCAGGGTTCTGGAGTCTAATATTTACTCTATGATTTACCAAAAAACATAGAAAGAAAGGAAAAGTAAAAATATTCTTCAAGCCTTAGTTCCTTCTGTAATACAGAGATTAAAATAAAACAATAAAATCTCCTATACCAAGCTGGTGTGGTGATGTAGACTTGTAATTCCAGCCTTTAGGAGGTAAAGAGAGGAGGATAAGGAGTTCCATGTGATCTTTGGTGACATAGCATGCTTGACACCAGCCTGTGTTATATAAGACCTTTGTTCCCTCCCCCCACAAAACAACAAAACACAAACCAGCCAACCAACTACTGCCAGCACCAAAAAAAAAAAAAAAAAAACCTATACCAAAGTTACTGTGGAGATCGGAGACAAACAGGCATGTGTGGTGTTTAGAATCTAAAACCTGAGAACTCTGAGGCTGAGGCAAGAAGGCTGCTATGAGTTTAGGCTAACTTGAGCTGCACAGGAAGTTTCAGGCAGGCCAGACTGTGCTACAGGGCAACACTGTCTCAAGCAGAAGAGAGAGAAAAGAGAGGGGGGGGGGAGAGAAGACATACAGGTCACATAATCTCCAGTAGAAAAGAATGACCCTGCCTGGACCATAGCTATATTTTACAGCATGGTACATCATATGCCTGGTTTCAAAACAGCCTTGCTCTCGGTGTCACACTTGGCAATTGGATTTGAGCACTCCTAGGGGGAGAAAGGAGTTCTGACACCAAGGCACATGGGATACAGTGGCTGCCTTGAACTTGCTAAGACCAGGGAGCTTTACAGACAGTTTGGCACTAAGGACTCAGGAAGAGATGAATGGAGCTCTTAAATCCTAACAAACATGGCTGCCTGCCACTGTGTCATGCTCATGGCCAGAATAAAGTCTGGCAGAGGTAATTAGCTTCTGCTTCATGGCTCATCACCTAGTTGATCCATCGCTACGTCTCTTTCCCAACTTGATTAATAATTCCTGCAGGGAAAGGGCCACTTCTTGAAGACCAGATGAATTCCCTGGGCCTGTGTATTTAACACTGAAAGTAGAAGTATGAGCTTCCCATTCAAACCGTGTGAACTGTATTTTCCTTGAGACATTCCATACTCAGGCTCTTGTAGAGCAGTTGAGGACAGCCAGACTCAGAGGTGGAGAAGAACCAGCGCTCCACAGGCTTCTAGTATTTGGCAAACAGGGTATTAGTGGGCCTCATCAGCATGGGCTGGGTCCCAGTCCCACTGAAAGCATTTTTGGTGTGTTGCTTTGCAGTTTTTGAGGTATAGATTCACAAAGCCAAGGGTGACCTGGGATTCACGAAAGTCAGCAGTCTTTGGGGGTGCTGTGATATTTACTCATGTGCACATTTTAAATATATACTGATATGCTGTCATATCATCCCTTGGATTATAAAAATAATTTTCAGTTATTCACTAGAATTTCATGTGTATAAGTGCTTGCCTATGTGTATACATGTACACCATGTGTGTGCCTCGTGCCTAGAGAGTCCGTAAGAGGATGCCAGATCCCTGGAAGTGCTGTTCCAGGGGGTGGTGAGCCTCTGCAATAGCAGTAACTGCTATTCACACATGCATCATCTCCCCAGCCCTGAATCATGCAAACTACGATGACTGTTTTATAGCACAACCAATTCATCACTTAGCTGAAATTCTTGAAACAGGCATATTTAAGCACCAAATTCCCGTATGTTTCCCTTCCATGCATCCACCAGACAACCAGTCCTTTAAGAGGGCAGTCATGAGAGAGTCTCTCTTACAAAGACAAGACTAACAAACACTCTTTTATGCATCCGGCCACTCGCTCTGCATTTCTGGTGAAAGAGGTGGTTTTGATTTTCAAACACATAGAATTCTGATGTTTCACATGCCAGTTCAGGAGATACGTATTTCTTCACAGTATCTTATTTTTCCCATGAGGGCTAAGCACTGTGATACTCAAAAGTTAAAACAATGGTCAGAAGATATTAGAGCTGGATTCATCAAAAACAGGAGTTTCCTTTCTGGGGCCAGGCCAGTTTCTCTTTGGCTCAGTTCTATGAATTTCGGTTACTTGTCCATCTTGCTGATTTATTACCATCTCTGCCTCCTTTGCCTTAAAACAATTACATAATATCTTAATTGTAGACTACAATACTCAATTGAAATTCCAGTTGATTTTTGATCAGTACACAGCCATAAAACCCATCACACACACACGTTCTATGATAAAAAAAATTCACTTCTTTCTGCAAGCCTGCCCACAGGTGTTGAGAATGTACAGATTAGTATATAGTTTCCTTCTATATTTCCACTTATCCATTAGAATACATATCTTACCTGACTCAGAATACGGCCACATTTTCTTCCTATATTTTCCACTAAATCAAAAATTGGAAAATTCCAGGTGTTTAACTGATCCATAATTGAGTCCAGGTTATCCATGACTAGGGGTTCAGGAGCAAGAATAGGTTTGTCCTGTAATGGAGATGACGATACTTGAACCACACATAATTTTTCTATTAAAAAAAATCATCAATTTGGTCAATTCAATAAATAACTGTGGCTCTCAGAAATAAATGACTTAAAAGTGCACTAATCTTAAGATCAGTCAACAAACAAAAAGGAAAAGAAAGGAAGGAAGGAAAGAAAGATGACAGAAAGACAGAACGTGTATCCAGAGTGAAGAGGCCAGCACTGGATGCAGTTCCACTGACGTTTATGGAGTCTGGTGCTTGCTTGCCAGACTTTCACACACAACCCAGACAGACGTTTCTCCCAGATGTTAGCTTTACTACTTTTGTGTCAATTACAAAACTCTTTAATGAAGACTGAAAAACCTCAGAAAACTCTGACGTTATTTCTAAACTTCCTTTTTTCTATACTACAGCAAATGTGACAGATGTGCGAGCCTGCCTTACATTGAACCCTTGCCAGAAATGCATGAGGCAGACGAAGACTTCACCCCCCTTTAATTGCATTTATATTTGAACTGTTCAGGTCAGTATTCTTCCTGGAAAATGACAGCTGCCACATCTTTCAGGAATGTAATTTTTATCCTCAAGACCCAAGATCTTCCCTCCACTAAACAAGTTGCTCTAAGTGAAGCAAGGGCAGTCAGTGTACAAAGTGTCCTAAAATCAGGATACTCAGATTTCCCACTACCACAATTATTTTTCAAAGTAAAGAAAATAAAGAGATTAAAACACTAAAAAATTTTTGTTTGGAAAACTAGTTTGAAGCTACGAGTAGCAAAAACAAAGAAAAACGCTAAGGGCAGCAGCTGATGATTACATCCCTGTCATTGGCAGCCACGCTTAACCTCTCTCAAATGTACACCAATGAGTCTTTACACCAGATGAGTCACCACCAAAGGACCTTTTAGAACCAGTACAAACCTGATCTAATACAACAAGGAAAACAAATACTGATTCAGTTTCTAATCAAGGGGGTATCAAAGTTAAAACAGAAGACGCCCTAAGAAAAATTAGTCAGCCAATCAACCTCTTTTTCTAAACTATTAGTTTTATATTATATTTCCACTTAATATTATTAGTTTATTAATTTTTTCATTAAACTTGTCTTAGTTTTTTATTGTATTGTTTGTAATCATATGCAAAGATGAATATTTGGGGCTGTGGAGATGGCTCCATCAATCAGTAAAATGTTTTCCATGCAAACATGGGAGAGGAGTTTTATCCATAAAACCTATTAAAAAAATTGATGGTGGTCTCTTGTAAAGTCAGAATTGGGGACATAGAGAAATGTGGTTCCTAGGACTCACTAGTCAGCCATCCAAGCCCACTTAACTGAGCTCCAAACCAATGAGAGTCTTTGTCTCCAAACAAAGCAGATGGAACTTGAGTAAAAACACCCAAGGTTGTTGTCTGGACTTCCCATGTGTGGTTTCTGTATGTGCACTTGATCACACACACACACACACACACACACACACACACACGCACACACACGCACACACACACACATGCACGCACACATACTCACGCACACTTTCCATTACCAAATAAAAGAATCATGAAGAAAACCAATAAGCTCAGAGAGAGAATTATAACAATATAACCTGAAGGCTACAGGCACATGGACCAAATGGATGCAGCTATAGATCTAATGACAAGAGAACCTATGCCTAAGCAGGTCTCTGCAACAGAGGCGAGTTCTCACTGAAATGAATGAGTTTAGTGACATGGGGCTACCAGGAAGATCATGGCCTGGGAAGCATAGGTGCCACAAGCCGATGCTTTCCTCGGTGGCTCTCTCCGGCACTCGGCCTCCTCTTCATTCTGCAAAATATCACTGCTGTCACTGTTGTTGTTGGTCTCATAGTCAGAGGTCACTTGGGAAGTGTCATCTACAATGGAAAGAGAACAGCCTGCTATCAGAGACATCGCCATGGCAGGAACACAAGGAAGTGAGCCTCCCTGAGACACACCAGCATGTGGTGAAGTATTTATTTAGGGAGACTGCATTCATGGATCCATGCATCAAAGGCAGAATAATAGGGAAGGAAATATAGTTTCAAGCTGATTTTAGTTTTGACTATGTATATGCAGTATGTCTGTGTACACGTGATTTATATGCCTGTGTAGGGCAGACGAAGGCATTAGATCCCTTGGAACTGGAGCTACAGGCAGCTGGCTGTAAGCTACCCAACATGGGTGCTGGGAAGAGAACTCAGGTTTTCTGGGAGAGCAATACATATTCCTACCTTCGGTGTAACCTCTCGGTCCCCCAAATACATTTCTAATCCTAATAAATAGATGGGAATTAAGATGTGTGATTTATGTGACATTTGGTAACTTTATAATAATAACTTTTAGATAAATTGTTTGTATTAATTCTGTAAGTTTATTTTCTTCCTCCCTTATTTCTTCCCTTCCTCCTCCTTTCCCTCCCTCCACCTTTCTCTCTCTCCCTTTCTTTCTTTCTTTCTTTCTTTCTTTCTTTCTCTCCTCTTTCTTTCTTTCTCTCTCTCTCTTTCTTTCTTTCTTCTTTACATTATGTCATCAAGAAATCTACAGCTCCATACCCTCACTAGATTTAAATTTCTGTTTCCTCTGTTCTTCCACTGTATTAAGTCAGGAATAAGTTGACTACACACTAATTAAAAGGCCTGTGTGATGGGAATAATTATGTTGACACACCCAGGGATGAGTGGTCTGCAGAACTTCATAACTAATAAATGCAATGACTAATGGTTGTGAGTGGACAGATCTTATGTGTATGGCCCAGGTCCTTGGGAATCTAGGCTTCCTCTTTTCATTTTCTCCCCCACTATCTCACCTTCCAGTCAGCAATTATTAGCTGAAAATCCAACCAGAAAACACAACTGTGTAAAGAACGTACTTCCAAGCCGTCATCAGGAAGCATGAAACATTTGTAACATTATCTGAGGATCCTAATTTTCTTACATCTTTCTGATGAAATTGCTTGATGCATAAACTTAGAAACAAAGGGTAGAATAAAAACATATCTGATCATGTGCAACTCGTGATCTGCGGAGAAAGGGGAGTAGATCCAGAGAGGACCCCATGCTCTGCAAGAGTCCATGAAGGTGGCCTGTGCATTAGAGGACGATGGCACTGTGAGAGCCCAGAAAGTGACCTGACCAGATGTTCTCATTCTGTCAGCCCTGGGAGCCTTGGAGAAGCATCCTAAATCCTCAAAAAGCTACACAATAACCAGGCCAATAGTTTTCCTTTGACTTCTCCTCGCCCTTTGCATATTGCAACAGAAGATTCTCATGGAAAAATATGTCAACAAATTTTGAGTGTATCTACCAAACGCTGACAGGGATGCACAATTATCCCTCATGGTGCCATGACCTTAAAGTCTACATTTCACTGATGCTTTGTTTTCTACATTGTATACTCTAAGTACAGTAAAAACAAACCCATAGAGCCGTGCCAATAAAAATAATCATTACAGCAACACCCACAAGCAGTAGCTACTCACAGTGCCCCCATAATCCAAAGGGAAATAAATGATTCACATTTAAATTTTTTTTAAAGATTCGCTTTTGTGTGTATGTGTGTCTGTGTGCTCAGTGTGTGTGGTGTCTAAAGAGGCCACAGGAAAGCATCAGATTCCTGGAGCTGGAGTGACACACGGTTGTTGAGATACCAAATGTGGATGCTGGGAATCAAACCCAGGTCCTCTGGAAGAGCAGCCTATGCTCAAAACTTCCAAATCATTTCTTCATCCCCCCATACATGGTTTGTTTAATCTTTACATTGATCTTATGTAGCAGGGCACCATTGTTACTCTGCCATTTGCAAGTGAAGGAATTAAGGTTCAGAAATTTAGAGGACATGTAATTGGGGAACAGCAGGAAGAGTGATCCAGGTTATGCTAGCCATGCCCTTGAGCAGAATGCCTCAAGGGAAAAACCATGTTATCGTGAACAGTGGTACAATCAGGGTCATTCCTTAGCATATGGGTTGGTGATCTCATAAGCATATGCCGGGACAGGTAACCCTCTAATAGAAAAGGCATCAACATGAGCCACCATTGATGTATAGCACATCATGTAACATACAGTGCTATACATTATACAGGGAGGGCTTTGAGTTTAAAATAATATACATTTGTGTGAAAAGTACTAGAAATGTCTAGGAGAGTCCATGTCCAAACTTTGCTGTGAGTTAGATTTAGATAGTGCATTGAGGATGACTTTTGTTTCCTTGCTGGTCATTTTAAGTTCACATTTAATTTAAGTGAGTCGGAGAGATGGCTTAGTGCTTAAGAGCATTTTGTGTTGTAGAGGAAGTTCAGTTTCCAGTACCCACATCAGGAGGCTCACAATCACCCATAACTCAACTCCAGCTACAGGGATCTGATGTCCAATTATGGTCTACATGGGCATTACACTCATGTGCATGCACCCCCCAGACAGACACATACATATACACAAGATTTTAAAAATTCAGAAAGTTAAAATTTACAAATTTGAAAAAAGCTAGGAATTCAAGTTGCCTTTTTGGTCAAGAGGAAATTAGAAAATAAAATAACTTGAATTTTGAGCAACAGAATCCAAAAAGTTTATTACCTGTTCTGTTTGGTTTTTGAATGGCTGGGCCACTTCTCTCTGAGGGTCCATCAGGAGGATTCCCTTTTGAATAAGGTCTGCCACAGCTGAGAAGTGTTGGGAGAGCATAAGTACCTCTGTACATTTAAAACACTTTTAAGTACACAGTATCTTCATAAACATCAGCCATCCCCTGCCTTAGTCTTTCATTGCTGTAAGATTTACATTGGCTCATAGTTTAGCGGTATCAGTTCATAGTCGAGTTCTCCACCACTTTGAACCAGAACTGAGACAACATATCAGGGCAGTGACAAAGTGTGTCCTCCATCATGGCTCACAGAAAGCAAGAGAGAGCTATGGAGAGATCAGGGTCAAGGAACATTAGTCATAGTACAACCCTACGGACCTACTTCCTCCAATGAGGCTCCCCATGCTTCCAACATCTCCCAACAATGTGTCCAGTTATAAGGACATCAGTAGACCATCAACTGACTAAGTTAAGGCCATTTATGTCTAGCTATTTTCCTGGAGTCTCCATGTTTTATATGAAACCCATAACAACATATATAATAAAATATCACAGTCTTCTACTGGTGAGTCTAGTGAGGCGGTTCACCTTGCAATACATGCAGATGCTGATGGGTGGTCCTCTTTGGTGAGTGGCTTATCAGCAAAGGGGCTCTAAACTTCATCTGACTCTCCTCTTCCTCCTCCTCCTCAGCCCACATAATTACACTAAAATGCTGATGAAGTTGTTATATTATTTGTAAAGATCCTGGGATAACCACCATTTGTCTGTGAAGTAGTTCTGAAGGGTCTGGCACATGTCTGGCTATGACTGTCTTTCCCAATGGGATACCTTTAGAGCCTCATTGTTCCACTCATTGTTTGTAGTTAGGATCCTCAATTATTTTTATTAAAACACAGAAAATTTAAAACAGAATGATAGTATATTCATTTTATTTTTCCCAAAAACAAATGTATTTCTTTGCTGCAAATTTTTCCAGCCATCCTTTAAGGCCTAAAGGAACAAAGGATAGAGACATTGTGGGGGAAAAGTAAATGACTATACTCACTATTGCTTGAAAAGAAAACCAAACAAACCAAAAAATGAGTCAACATGATCTGTGGACAACCAAGACAGTGGAAGTTCCAGGGAAGTGAGTGGTGGCCCATCAGAGAGCTGGGCATAAGGAGAGAACCCTGTTTTTTCAACAACTTGACTACTTTACTAGTCAAAAGGTAATCCCACAAACCCTACTGAGATCCAAACTGCCCCCTCCTTTATTATTTTGTTTAACTACTGCACGATTAGATTTTAATCTTCTATTTTGTGGTTGGGCTCTTTTCTTCTGCATAATATAAAAGGTCTCAGGAGAACTTTTTGGTCTCATGGTTACTTTTAACTACAAGATGACACCGCATAAATTAGTTTGATATCAAATGTTTAATATCTAAATGTCTCATCAGCTTCTCAACTGTACACACAGTGTACCATCATACTAAGTAAGTATAGTTTTCAACCCTGAAATATATACAGAAAAAAATTATACAGGATTTATTTCTAATGAAGAAAATCCATAATTTTGCTATAGGAATCAAAAGAGAAGAATAAAAGAAATAAAAAGAAAGTTCATGCTAACTTATGACTTCTAATATTGTGTGAAAACTTATTGATGTGAAGGGTTTTCAGTGCCTGACAATACCTAAAAGAACTATTTAAGTTACTAGTTCAAATAGAGCAGCTCCTGCACCTCCCTCCCCCACCAAAAAAAAAAAAAACCAACCAGCTTGTTGCAAAGGCATTACAACAGCCAAGAGACTAGGGTTCAATGCCAAGCCCTTCGAGTTCAGCAGGGGAAACCACAATAGTTAGTCGTGTGTTTCTGGAGCATTTTGTGACTACATGGGTGGCTGCCTTGAAGGGAATTATAAACCTGGTTTGAATTATAGATTTATAAAGCCCAAACAAATAAAATGCACACTACTGGATTTCTAACCATCACTGAAAAAGGAGACAGAGAAATCCTCTTTTTGTTTTGTTTTTTTTTTCTTTCTTCATTCTCTTTAGGAAAGCTCTGTGACATTCTTCCCTCTAAAAACAACCACGATAATATGATAAGAGAATCTGGCTGGAGGAAAGCTGGGCAAGCTACAGATCTTTCCTGAACACCCTTAGCTTTTCTTTCAGATGATTATTTCTCACAAGTCTTGAGGGAGGGAGAGCCCCTTGAAAAAGCCAGAAGCAGATGTTCTTAACCCAAATCACTCTGCTGGGCTTTATCCTGGCTCAGGGTGCAGAACAAAGAACAATGCTTTCCTCAGCAAGCCTGTCCAATGTCAGATGCACGAACAATTACAGGGTGTCAACCTAAGGGAATTGGCCCTGGGGCCCAGTGAACTGAGAGACATGAAACAGACCAAGAACTCCTCCGAGTTTTTGGCACAGTGAGCGTGATGTAGCGTGTCTCAGGCTCTGACGCCACAACACACTCTGAAGATGGCTGTGCTGGATGGGAAGCCCATAGAACTCGATTCTACTTAGAAGGCTGTCTTGGGAAGAGTTTGGTTACTAGAATAACATTCTAATCTGGTCTTCGCCCAATAGCCAAGGTTGGCTATTATTTTTTCCACTTAAAAATAGTTGTATAGAGAAAGGAAGTAAAAGTAAAGATGATAAAATAAACAATGTTTATTTATCTTAAGGCAGTAAAGTTTGGATGAGGAGAGATCCCCAGATGTGATGTGTTCAAGTCCTGCTCAACAGTCTGTGGTGTTGTCTAGAGGTAGGGAATCTTAAAAGTTGGGTCTTATGGGGAAGAATGTAGGCCGTGGGGGTAGGGTTCAAATGGATATTGGGACCTGCAGACTCTCTTCTCTTTGTCTTCACTTTCCCCAACAACAAAACATACTTAGTTAGATAGTTCCTGCCCTGGGATTCTGCTTTGTCACGGGTCCAAAAACAACAAGGTCAAGGAGCCACTGAGTGAATCCTCTAAAGCTGTAAGTAGACGTGGGCCATTCCTTCCTGGACTCAGGTATGTTGCCATAGTGATGACTGACATAGGGAGTTTACAGACCAGTTACAAGCAAATGAAATGTGTGAAGCTTAGTATCAGTTGCTAGTTATTAAACAGAGTGCCCCGATAAAATGAGACACAAGAATGCATCATGCTGCTAACACATTCCAAAGTCATCTTCATTAACTGCACACAATAACATTTTGTTTAGGGCATTCTCAGGATTGTGCTGAAAACACTTGCCTCTTTTCTACTCAAAAACAATACTAGGGAAGGGAGAGATGGCTCAGCGGTCAAGAGCATTGATTGTTCTTCAGAGGGCCTGGGCTTGATTTCCAGCACCCACTTGGTAGCTCACAACCACTGTACTCCAGGCCCAGCCAATTTCTCACTGTCCTCTAGCCTCCTAGAGCACTTCATACACCTATATTCAGATAAAAACCCATATCCATAAACATAAGTAAATCTTTAAAAAACATTCAGTCCTTTAAGATAAAGCATCCAAAATGAAGATATTACTTGAGAACAACAAAAATGTTCATCAGTAATTGGTGGTGTGTTCTTTTTATGGTCAATGTTGATAAAAAAACAACATAATAATCACTTCAGCACATTAAGATCCTCTTTAATCAACCTCTGATGATACTGGGCAATTCTGTTTCTTCCTTCATCCCTCCCTCCTCCTCTCCCTGCCTCCCTCCCCCCTCCCTCTTTTCTTCCTTTTTGAGAAAGGGTTCCCTACGCTATATCCCAGGCTGGCTTCAGACTCATTGTGTAGTTCAAGCTGCCTTTGAACCCCCAGCCATCCTCCTGAGGGCTAAGGTTTCAAGTACTGCCCCCCCATGACAAGCTTATAATTCTGTTTTATTATGATACAAGAAGAAATCATTTGCTTAATTTCATTCAGGGAAGCAATTGAGTCAAGCCATAATGCACGATGTGTTAGTCATTCATTTTGGAAGAGTTAAAATGAAATACATAAGTTTCAGGTAAAATGCCTTAAAAATCCACATAAAATAGTCATAGGATAACAAAAGCACCCCAGCAAAATAATCAATTACATCACATTACTTGCTGAAGATATTTTATTTAAATTATTTAAACTTTAATTTTTTATTATGTGTCTGTGTGTGGTATGTTCACCTGAATGCAGGTGACCCAGGAAGGCAAAAGAAGGCATCAGATCCCCCAAGAAGAAGGGCTACAGGTGGTTGTAAGCCACCTGATGAGGATGCTAGGAACCTAACTAAGGACATCTGTAAGAGTTGCAAGCACTCTTAACCTCCAAACTGTGTCTCCAGCCCACAAAGCACATATTTTATCCATCACCTACTAGTATATAACACAGCTAATTATTTTGAGCTCTCTCCAAAAATCTGTCCAGACCAGACTTAATGGAAAATGAAGTTTCTATTCACAGAGAGCCATGGGAAAATTTAAGTTCCTATTATAGCCTTAAACATACCACCGCACTATCCTATACTTTTCCTATTACAGCATAAAGTTCTTACCTGCTACATATGACAGGTGGAGGCAGGATCTGAGGGGACAGGTCAGGGGCACTTTGGGTGTAAGTCAAGGCCCTGTGGTATCCGGGGCCTCTCTTGGCAGTTATTTCAGGGGATTCTGGAAACTGGGCTGAAGTAATGTTGCCAACAGGACTACTGGCAGGCGAGCCTTGTGGAGGTGAGGAGGAGGGCGAGGGTACAGGTGAAATATTAGCAAGGCCGCCTGAAAGAGAAAGAGAGTAATGATGTCATTCAACAATGCAAACATGATTCCTTCCTGTCACCTTTACCCTACATACATACAATCAGCAGCCACCAATTTCATGGTTGGCCCCCAGATCTGACCTCATCTTCATGCCACCACCTAGAGACAGGGCATGTACCTGGGGTGTCTCTATGGCATGAGAATATGACCAGTAAATCATCCAAAAATATTGGCAGTAGGGCTGGCACATACCCACTAAAGCCATGGTGGCCTGAAGTAACCTCAGGGAAGAAAGGTATTATTTTCTTCTCCCATTTTTGTTTCTCTCTTGTCATCCTGATTTGGAATAGCAAGTACAATTTCCTCATGGGTCTGGAAAATTTCAGCTGGAAAAAAACTCACTGCCCTTTAAAAGAAATACTTGCATTTTGTTTTGTTTTGTTTTTTCGAGACAGGGTTTCTCTGTATTGTTTTGGAGGCTGTCCTGGACAGCCTGTAGACCACGTTGGCCTCAAACTCACAGAGATCCACCTACCTCTGCCTCCCGAGTGCTGGGATTAAAGGCGTGTGCCACCAATGCCCGGCTGAAATACTTGTATTTTAAAAATATTTATTTCCATGAGTATTGGCCTGCATGAGTTTATGTGCACTGCATGTGTACAGAAGAAGTCTATGGAGAAGACGGCACCTGATCCCCCGGAATTGGAGTTTCCTAGATGATTGCTAGTCACCATGTGGGTACTAGGAATCAAACCCAGATCCTATGAAAGAAGAGCAAGTGCTCTTAATCACCTAGACTGGTCATCATCCAAAACTAGAGATTCTCCTGTCCCTTCCTCCCCAGTGTTGGAATGGGAGTCTCAGCCTGGCTTGGCTGTTTACACAGATGATGAGGATTGAACCCAGTCTTGAGTCAAGCACTAGACGCACAGAGCTGTCACCTCGGTCCTATCCCACCTCTTTTTATAAGTCTTTTCCTTCCTTCCTTCCTCCCTCCCTCCCTCATTCACTCCCTTCTCTCCCCTCTCTTTCTTTCTTTCTTTCTTTCTTTCTTTCTTTCTTTCTTTCTTTCTTTCTTTCTTTCTTTCTTTCTTTCTTTCTTTCCAGGCCATTAGTTCAAAGCCCAATGGAAAACTTCTCCATTTCTATGTGGACACAAATATTTATGAGAAGACTGATTTGTTTGAGTAGCTGGGAGCTGATAGCTGTAGAGACATGGGGTTTCATACTTAAATACACATTTTAAAATTCTTATGGCCATTAGGGCTCTTGGAACTCTGTAGTTAACTAAATTTAAACTAATAAGCAGACTTTAAGGCTCCTGGGATGAACTCTTGAATAAATGTGTAGCAGAGAAGCACTTTGCTTTTAAAGTTCTTTGCTCTCTCTATTTTGAACTCTTTAACAAGCACCGGGTCTCTGCGCCAACAGTGAAAAGCAGAGTGTAGGGGGCAGGGTGGGCGAGAAGCTGAGAAGATAAATGTGTAAAGGTTGCTGCAAATTTAGAAAAGGAACAAGGAGGACGTTATAGCCAGAGGACACACATTTCTATGCACCAGTCTTCAGATGGGTGGATAAGCCATTGGTGTAGACACCGGCAGAGCCTCCCTGAATGTTTGAGTGGGAAGGATTTCAGATTTCTGAGTTTTGTGGATTTGGGAATATTAACACCAGCTTTAAGAGTTGAGCATCTCTAATGCAAATTTGACAATTCAAAATGTCCCAATTTAGGTTTTCAGATTAGGATGGCTCAATCTGTGATCACCAAATACCATTTCCCTTTAGAACGGAGAGATAAAGTGCTGATGATATAGAAAGGGAATTTCCAAAGGAAAAGTAGAAATAACCTTCTTTGCAAGTAGGGAGAGAGAGTGTGTGTGAAGGATAGGAAGGAAGGAAGGAAGGAAGGAAGGGAGGCAGGGAGGAAGGAAGCAAGGAAGAAAGGAAGGAAGGAAGGAAATTCTATGACTTTTTAAGGGTCTTCAATCTCAAGAGGGAAGACATCTAATTTTGTGTTACATACACACACACACACACACACACACACACAAAACTGGATGAGTTAAACATGCATACCTTTTATATATTTATCTTCATTTTAAAAGTAATTGGAGAGAGTCCAGGAACAAGACACAGATCATGAAATAAAAATCCCACAATGATTTATATTATCCTAATATGAAACATTTAAAAACAGTGATAGGCAAAAATAAGTAATAAAATATATAATACAACTTTTGAAGAGTCTAAAATTCAGACTCATTTGAGTAACCTAGCCTTTGTCTCCTAGGTCTCTTGTTCCTTAGAGCCTGAGAAAACTTCAATCTACAGAGGCAACTAGAGGGAGAAGAGGAAGAAGACTGCCCAGGAATTCTTTAAGTAAATTCCTTTGCTTTGCAGTATAAAAGTTTTCCAGTTTAACTTTAATTGAGCAAAAACAAACTGGGCTGAAGAAATAGCTCAGCAGCTAAAAACACTTGCTGTTCCTGTAGGGGACCTAAGTTAAATTCCTAGCACCCACATCAGGAGGCTGTAACTTCAGCCCCAGGGGATCTGACATTCTTTTCTGGCCTCCTCAGATACCTGCATACAGATGTACTATGAACACACATGTACACAAATAGAAACAAAATAAATTTCTAAAAAAAGAAAGAAACCAGCTATTCTGATAAGCATGTGTCTCTGTACCAATGTTTTAGTAAGAATAATACAAAAGAAAAAATCAGCATCCCATAAAATTTTCTTTTGCATCTATCTTATAGATTTATGGCATCTGGATTCACCACATTAGAAGGCCCACATTTACAAGACCCTAGCAGAGGATTACTGCACAGGCAGCAGTTATGAATTAGAGGAATTTGGAGGCTGCATGGCAGTAGCTCCCCATTTTTAGCAACTCATACTAGAAGGGGAAGTTTTGAAATTCAAGTCAGGGGCTCTAGAGATGCTGAGGGGTTAAGAGCACTGCTGCTCTTCCATAGGACCCAGGTTGGTTCACAGCACCCACGTGAGAGCTCGAAATCATCTGTAAGTCTAGTTCAAGGGCATCAAAATGGCCTTTACCTGCCTTTGCTGGCACTGCATACATGTGGTCTACATATATACATATATACATACATACATACATGCATACATGCAAACACTCATGTAAATTAAAAAATGCAAATCATATTTAAATCTCCCATTGCTATGCTTTCATCAGAGGACTCCTGTGTGATCTGACCCATGTAGTTTCTTTTACTCATTGGTCAAGATGGCTTGTTTTCCAGCTCTTTCAAAGGAATGCTGAGGAGAGAGCTGGGAAGGCATGGCTCACTAGGTTTGTGCAAAGAACATATCAATCCCTCATACTCTGGACACAGACAAATCATCTTCAGCGTGCTGACCCATCTGCACTTTGAGGCTCAGGGCTCTTAAATTGCTCTTCACACCACCTGGGACCCCATATCCTTACCCCTTTTCCACACCAAAGACTTTCCCCAATCTCTTCCCACATGGTACATTGAAAAGCAGGTAGCAAAAGAATCAGTTGCATCAAACATATTTGGGAACTTGCTTATCTAGGGCAACTAAAGTCCATGACATCAAAGCAAGAATAATAGAGTTTCAAAACTGAGGTAGAAGCTTATAGAACACATGTGATACTGTGGTAGAAAGAGACTACTGTGGGCAGAAATTACTAGCAGAGAGGAGGTGGTAGAAAATGAGAGAGAGAAAAGCTAAGCCAGGCAGTGGTGGCGCACGCCTTTAATCCCAGCACTCAGGAGGCAGAGGCAGGCAGATCTCTGAGTTCAAAGCCAGCCTGGTAGAGAGAGAGAGAGAGAGAGAGAGAGAGAGAGAGAGAGAGAGAGAGGGAGGGAGGGAGGGAGGGAAGGAGGGAGGAAAGGAGGGAGGGAGGGACAGAGACAGAGACAGAGAGAGACAGAGAGAGACAGAGAGAGAGAGACAGAGAGAGACAGAGAGAGAGACAGAGACAGAGATAGAGAGTCAGACAGACACACAGAGAGAGAGAGCTCCTGAACAGCTAGGGCCACTCATTAAAACTCTGCCTCAAAGCAAAGCAAAAACAAAAAGTCAAAACAAAACATTGAGATAGAAAAGGAAATGTATGAAAATGCTATGAAGAAAACTGCTGCTTTGTGCTGATTTTTAAAATTGCATTAGGAGAAGGAAAAGCAAATCAAATAATCAAATGAAAACAAACAAAACCAGAAGAACCTAACTGACCAGCGAGAACTGGAATCTAGGTTCATCTGGTTCTTAATCTATCTCTATGTTTTGGCAGAGTTTTAGTGATTGATTTACATTCAGTATGAACAGGATATGGATGTTATAAAGTCCTTATTCCATGATGACAGCAATCTAAGGATACCACAATACAAAGTCCCTTTGAAATAGTCATTGACAGGAGACATCAAACCCCCACCCACAGAAATGACAGACTGCGACCCCTGGGACTGGTTTCTACCGTTGCCGCCTGGGGCATGTTGCGTGGATGGTCTTCTTGAGTTTAGTTAGACAGCAAATAAGACACAGGGTGTGAAATGCAGGGACATGAAGCTGTGCCCTCAAATACTCTGTTATTTCCAGTGTGTGCCAGAGTTACAACTTTCAGATTAAACACTTGATTCTGAATTGTGTGTTTGTGAGTCTGTCTGTGGGTGTTCACATGCATGTGGCATGTGTGTGCACAGCTGAATCTAGGGGACAACAACAGGCATTGGATCCTTTGAGGCTGGTGTTACAGGTGACAGACAGGTAGCCATGTTCTACGGGTTCTGGGAACATAACTAATCCTATGGAAGGGCAGTACACACTCTAAACTGCTGGGTCATCTCTGCAGCTCCCAGAATAAGTATATGTATATTTATAAAAATTATATATATTTATATAAAATTCATGTATTTATTATATGGAGTGTCTGCCGTGGCACACATGCCAGTCAGAGAACAACGTTTGGGAGTTTACTCTGCTCAGGTCTTCGAGTTTGGCAATTAATCTGCTGAACCATCTTGCAGTTCCAATATTGAGCTCCTTAAATCTAGCATGCTGGGTTGTTGAATGATTGTTATTAGATCACTTAACTGAGGGAGCACAGGTACCCAGCCATAGAATCCTAGTCAGAAACCATATCAATTTATTGTCCTTGGTTTTTCTTTACTATGAAACCATGAGGACAGAAGGAAGGCCCAGATGAATTCTGGGCCTTGGACCAGTTATGTCATTTTTCCGTCCCTCCGTTTCCTCCTTTGAGCTCTTTTGCCCATCAGTACCAGTGGCATTAAAAGTAACAGAAAAAAACTCTTTTTCGGGCTTGTGATGTCTGTGTATGTGTGGAGTGCTTATGTCTGTGGTATACATGCCACGCGTGAAGGTACGTGTGGTGTCTGTGTGATGCATGTGTGATGCATGTGTGTGTTTTCAGTGTGTGTGGTGAGATGTGTGTACAAGCACAGAGTGTGTTGAGTTCCTCACTCACACATGTGTGTAGAGGCCAGAGAGGGTGCCTGTGTTTGTGTCGTGGATCTCAGTTCATCGTTAATCTCCATCATCTTGCACTGTCTGGTCCTAGTAAAACTCAAGTCTGTTTCTCCGCTCACTGATGATGTTCACCTTACAAAGCTTAACAGACACCACATCTCAAAGAACTGTAACATTTGCAGGAGAATCAGACGGTCTTTAACAGTTTCTCTCAAATAATATATGAAATAAATGTTTCTTTCTGTGATGTGCATTCTTCCCCACCAGCTGCCTGGGTCCTGCCTCTGTCTCAGCCCCCAAATAACACACGAGACACTATATTAATTATGAAACTGCTGGCCATTTGCTATGGTTCCTTAATGGCTAGCTCTGACTTAATTATTAACCCATAATTACTAATATATATATATTTTTTTTTACAAGGTCTTATCTTACCGTGGATGCAGCCTCATGTGTCCTCTCTTCCCAGGATCACATGGCGGCTCTTCACCCTTGACTACACTTCCCAGAATCCTCCTCAACTCCTAGTCCCACCTATCTTGCTTCCCTATTGGCCAACAGTGTTTTATTCATCAACCAATAGGACAACACATACACAGAAGGACCCCACACCATCTTTCAATACAAATAACCTTACTCTGTGGGGAAAGTGTCCTCCCCACACTTAGCACTCGAGACTTTAAGCAGACTGAGTGATGGTTTCCAGAGGAAGGACCAAGGGGGAAGTAAACAACCAGAGGAAGATGAGCGACCAGGAGCCCTTCTCCAAGTCCTACATCTTAATGCCATGTCTGCCTTTCAAAACCCATCTCTTGAAATATTAGTGGAACGTGGGGAATTTTCAAATGGCTCCCACACAAATCCCATCATTTTAAGGATGTCTCGTCTGCTTCTACCTGTTATACACTGATTACTAGCAAACCCACACTTGCTTCTTTGAGAACAGGTAGAAAAGATGAGAAGGGAGCGAAGGAGGGAGGGACAGGAAGGGGGAGGGGGAGGGAATGCATTAAGGGAGGGGCAGGTAGAAAGGGAAGGGAAAGAAGGGTTTCAAGGTCAAGGCAGAGACCCAGATCTGAGGGCTTAGGTTCCCAGAAGACAGCAAGAGTGGGTGAGCCACAATCCTACTAGTTGCTCCCCCTCAGAGCTCTATCTACTGCCTGTTGGCAAAGAGGAGGGTGCAAGTCTGAGCAGAGGGCCCAGCTACCACAGAGGCTACCAGCAGAGCTTTCAGCAGTGGCATGAGGGTGATGACATGGATTTTGGAGTTCACAGTTGCCATGGCACCAGACTGGCATATCCAATATCACTTTGGGAAAAGAGGGTCCACATTCAGCCAAAACTGAAATTCTTAAGCTGCTGAAAATAGAAGATTCAGAAATGAAGCAAAAAGCAATTGAAAGACCCCAAGAAGAATTTCTACAATGCCATGAAACAAGCATTCACGGTTTGTACTTCTCAGAAGGAAGAGGTCAGTGTTTCAGCCCAGGCCCTCATCTAAATTCTGGAAGGGAAATTCATAGACAAATATAATAAAGTGGTGTGTGTGTGTGTGTGTGTGTGTGTGTGTGTGTGCGCGCGCGCACGTGTGTGTGCATGCATGCAGTACCTATAGAGACCAAAAGTGGTTTATAGGTGGTTGCCCATCATGAGCACTGTGAATCAGACTCCAATCCTCTGCCAGAAGTACAAGCCCTGAGTCAGCTCTCCAAGGCCTTGAACTCTTATTTCTCCTGCATTAGCCTCCAAGTGCTGGAATCATAACTATATCTCAGCAAACCCAATTTAGAGATCCCAGCATGAACCTGGGCTTGGATTAAGAGATGAAAATCTCCTAATTCCTTCCACTTTCCCAACTAAAAACCTTATTGTTCATTTTAATGCCACAGTTCATTACCGCAGCGTATGCATAGAAAATGAGACCGTGTGTGCGGGGAGTACATTGCTTACCTGGCCTGTTTTGCTTTTTAGCTTTCACATGGTTAGCTGCAGAGATAGCATAGGAAGAAGTGAAGGACCTGCTCTTGGTGAGGGTCGTTGATCCCGGCGTATTCCAAGAGTCAGGACTGAGAGCACTGCAAAGACAGCAATTAAAGACCACAGAGAGATTACTCAACTGTTCCTGAGCACGCACGGCCAGAACCCAGCCTCCACCTCTGCAACAGACACTCCAACACGAGTATTTCTTCCCAAGTTGCTGCCAGAACCATTTAAATTGCAGGTGACAGACTCAGCTAAGGCCAGCCTTGACTGCAGCTGCGTATCTGTCTCTCATTAAACACAGTCTACCAAAAGCAAGGATGCCATTGCCAATCCGTCCAATTCATAGACTTTCCTACATTTGTAGCCATGCCATTTACAGATCTTTCAAGAGCTATCTACATGATTCATTGATTGTTATGCAACTGTTCATGTAGGAGCAGAGAGTGTCACAATGCTTACTTAGGTGCTCTTTGTCAGACAACATTGTGACTATACACTGAGGAATTAACATTTGATCATGCCACTCAGGAACAATGTCTTGCTGCAGAACTTAACTTACCAAGTAGAGCATAAGAAGCAGACCTACAGCCTGTCATTTCTGTTGGCAACTCATCATTGCCTTTCAAAGACAACTATTAGCAGCAGCCTAGTGCGATGTTCTAAGACTCCTCTTTACTGGTGACTCCCTGGAAAGAATGTGATGTCCTGTCACACCCCACTGAAACACACTCATGATGGGCATGGTGTTAATGTACCGACCATATGATTAAGGGAGAGGCAACAGGCTCTCTTTACCTAGGCAATGCATTTATCAACAGAGACATGGCTCATCAAGTTGTTCCCTGTAAACAAATCAGGAGTCAATCCATCCTCAGAGGATTCAGCCCAGAGAAGGTTACAGAAGCCATGTAATTAGTAGGATTGGATCCCTGGAGGGTCTTCCACACCAAAATTTCTCTTTACATAGTGCTTCAAACCTTACATGTGGAAACGGAAACATTATCCACCCTAATTTTGGGGAGAATAGAATTCAGGAAGTTGTGTTGACAACCTTGGACTGCTCCTGGTGAAAAGTGCTTGTCTCCTGTCTTGCCAACACCTGTGTTTCCTTTCATGCACCAGTAAATTTGGTGAAGGTTGAAAACCTATAATTTGCAGATTGAATAGGATGTGTCTAATCTGTCTGGGTGGCATATTGTAAACAACCCTGGAATTGATGGGATTATGAATCATGATGCACAGAGTTTGTCGCATAAGATAAATAATTAATGAGGGTTAATGTGGAGATGATCCTGAAGAACAAGGACTCTACCTCTCCCAGCAGCCATCAATTGCCAAGAACTCCTTCATTATGGATGGGATTTCCACGAGCTCTTTCATATGAGACTTTTGTTCAGCGATTATATAATTTAAAGGTCTCCTTTTGCTCTTACCGTTCTTAGCAACTTACCACATACACAATGAAAGAGACATTTGAAGGTTGATGTGAGCTCCGGCAGTTGCCAAGAACACTTGAAGCCTAAAAAAATGCTTGTTTGTTTCAAGGCACCTTTAAAAATCCCATCTTTAGTCTTTCAGATGCCTGGAATTTTGTGAATGAGATTAAAAGAAAAACTTTGTGTATTTCATAGTTAGTTATTTCCTTGTGTTAGTAGTCTCTTTTTACCCATTCTGCTTGCCTGAGTAATGGCTAAGATTGACTATGAAAAGTTTATGTGATGTATATTGTCTGTCTCTTCATTCCATAGACTATTATACGGTAGGTACATTATTACTCATCCATGTAGACTTTTTGAAGAACTTAACATCATTTAGCATCTTAAAAAGATATCTTATTGGGGCTCATACAAAAACTGCCTACCTCTGTTCTTTGACAGCCATTAAGCATTTAAAAGGGGGCTTCAGGGATGGTTCAGTAGTTAAGAGCACTCACTGTTCTTAGAGGGGCCTGGTTTGATGCCAAGTAACAACATGGCAGATCACAACCATATGTAATTCCCGTTGCAGAGGATCTATACCCTCTTCTGACTTTCAAAGGTGCTATACACATGTGGTACATATATACATGTGCTGTACACATGTGGTACATATATACATGTGCTGTACACATGTGGTACATATATACATGTGCTGTACACATGTGGTACATATATACATGCATTCACGAAATTAAAAAAAACACTTCGAAAGAAGTGTGTCTAAAAAACAATTAAAATGTATTTATTTTGAAGCGTTTATATAATGGAATACAATGAAGTCAAGATTAATAAAGTCCTACCTGTATCTACCCCACTCTAAGTTGCTATATATTAATTTATTGTATGATACTATTAATAAAACAGCATGAATCAATGTATGTTATTTAAATGCACTGTAGTTCAGGGTCATGTCTGCCTATCTGTCAGCTTTTCAGTGACCAGTGCTGGGCAACCCCTGCTTAAAACTAATAAATAGGTAAGAACGGAGATTCAGGGCCACTCCAGGACAATAAGTAGAGAGATGCTAGACAGTTATTCAAGAAGGACGAAGACAGACAGGGCCAAGGAAAAGAAGTATCCCAAAGGAAATACCAGAGAGAATTCAAGCAGCCAGTCTGTTTACCAAAGCCATTACATGGTGAAATTTGTACAGTGTTCCCAGCTGGCCAGGACAACTCTTTGGGGGCCCTTTGGTAGAGAGCTTACTGGCTTTCAAAGCACAGGGCTCAAGTAATTTATACACAGAATGCTAAGGGTGAAGGTGGCCTAGTTGCTGGTAAAGACACAAATACACATATACAAACAAAAAAAACATACGCAAAAATGCGCATACACAGAGAAATTTTAAAAGATTTGAACGTATCCAAACGTTGATGAGATATCTACTGTTTGATCTATAATTCCTACTAATTCTGCAGGGAATTAAGGCGCAACAGGTCTGACAGGCCATGGTAAGAATTGTATGTAAATGCTAGGCTAGATGCCTTCAAGTTAGCTCTCAGTATTGATCTCAAAGCAGGTAAAGTATAGGGTACCCTCACTCTGGCCTTAGACTTTTCCACTCAGTGCCATAGGAGCAGGGGTCATCCCTACCTGCTCTTAGTGACTTAAGGTCATTCCAGTCTGGCCCTAACGCGCTCAGAATTTAAGCATGAGATTTTGGTAAGTTCTCAGCCCATTTCTCAGTAACTCTGGTTGGGCACATCCTCTTGGACCCCATGAATCCTTTTTGGCAAGTAACTTCTCTGAGGAGACATGGAGACAGTGGAGTGGACTCTAACCTGGGTGAAGGTGCTTCGTGCGGCTTTATGCTGGCACTGCGGTCTCTCCGCACTGGTGCCGGCTCCAGGGTGGGTAGACCTGTGGCAGAGGTGGTAGTTGTCCAAGTCGAGGAGACTCTTCTCAGCAAGCCTGGGGGCAAACTTCTTCTCAGGCGCTGGAAGGAAAATTCGCTTTATCAGGAACCATATTTTAGATAGTTGACTCTAATGGAAAACAATGCAAGGGATCAAGGGAAATGGAAGCTGGATTTCATCTATTCCTATCCTGGAACAGTGAAGAGAAACCCTGGAGTCCGAAATGAAAAGGGCAGCAGTAGGCCGCGCCAGGTGCTCCCTGGGGAGTCTCGGGAAGTGGCTCCAAGAAGCAAACTGGGCTGCACACGGAGTACGAGGCTCCCAGGTCTACCCAGGAAGGTTCTGTCTCAGACATCTCAGAAGTGGCAGGAAGGAACCCTTGCAGACTGCGGAAAGATTAACTCAGACCAAACCCTTCCCGCCACACCTACCTTGGGAATGGCCAGTTTATCTTTCTCCAAGCCCTCCTCCGAATCAGAGCAGGCGTAGTTCTCACTGAAGGTTACAGAGGGGTTCACTCTGGGCTTGTGGATGGCCTGGAAGGTGAGCTGGGTGCTAAGCAGGTTGCTCACGGCCCTCAAGGATGTGCACACGTTCGGAGGCAGAGACGGGTCTGCCAGGAGGTCGGTAATGAGCCCATGGGCCTCGCCCATCACGGCAATGTCCACAGTGATGCTGGTTCCTGACTGGGACATGAAAGCAGGAGGTCAGGGATGGTGGGGCGTGTGGAGGTGAAGGGAGCTGCTCTGGGCTTTGACCTGGACTTTCTGGCTGAAGAACAAGCAGCTGTCAGGCACTGTAGTGCACACTAATAAACTTGATACACAGGCGGCCGAGGAAGGAGGATATGAGCTCTAGGGCCAGCCCAGGCTAGGTAGTGAGACCATGTCTTAACCTCTGCAGTCCACTAGAAGTTAAAAAGCAGGTAAATTGAACTAAACATTTCAGAACAACAAAGTTTCAGTCACATTGCTGTTTTCACACATTAAAATTTGCCATGGCTGTTTTTGTGGGTCCATGCTTTTCAAAAAAAGTTACACTTTTAGAAAACGCATACTGATCCATAAATGTTATTGATACAGGTTTGCCAGGTGGCTCAGTGTTTGCCAGCATTTACTGCTCTTATGGAGGACCCTCATGACAGCTCCTAAACATCTGTAACTACTCCATTTGTCAGGTGCCATCCACTGACGTCTCCTGATACTTCATGCAGATGATGTGTATCAGTGGTCCTCAACCTTCCTAATGTAGCGACCCTTAATACAGTTTCCCATGTGGTGCTGACCCCAACCATAAAATTATTTTTGTTGCTGCTTCCTAAACTGTAAGTCTGAATCACAATGCAAATATCTGATACGCAGGATATCTGATGGGGTCATGACCCACACGTTTAGAACCACTGATACATACACACACACACAAACACACATATATATGTATACATATACATACATACATATATGCAGACAAAACATTCACATGCATCATACATAAAAATTAAAATAAATTAAAAAAATTCAAATAGTTATCTGTGTGATATATTAATATGTTACATATTATACAATGTCCAAATCAGGGTCAGCACATCCATCATCTAAAGCATTCATTATTTCTCTGTACTGGAAATATAGAAAGGTCTTTCTCCCAGCTTGTTAAAACTCATCACCTTCACCTACAGTCATCCCACTGTGAAACAGCGTGGGACAGCTCCATTCTCCCTCTGAGGCACATTTTTCAAAGCTAGAGCTTGAGGAGGAATGGGAGCATATATAGCAAGACAAAAACAGCTCTAGGGTTGCATCTTAGTAGTTCAGCACTTGCCTGTGGTGACATTATTTATGATTTATTAAAGTTTGCCTGAAGATTCAGAAAGAAAAGTCAGCCTCAAGCTGTGGAGACCAGGCAGTAGTGGTACACACCATTAATCCCAGGACTTAGGAGACAGAGGCAGATAGCCAGTTTAAGGCCAGCCTATAATATATGCAGTGGTCCTAGTCTCAAAAAACAAAGAAATAAACCAAACCAAAATGAACTACTTTCTTCTCTAATAATTAAAATGTAAAACAACTGAAAAAAATCACCTAATATTACCAAACTTTCCCAGAATTATAAAAACATGGCAAGCACCAATTATTTACAAATCAACGTGAAAATTTAAATGCACTATTAATAGCTTTAGGATAATTATGTCTATGTCTTACAGATATACATTATTTATGACAACATTCACAAAAATACCACTAAATTGCAATAGAACCTCTTTTAGCAATATGTTTTTTTTTTTTTGGTTTTGGTTTTTCAAGGCAGGGTTTCTCTGTATTGTTTTGGAGCTTGTCCTGGAACTCGCTCAGTAGACCAGGCTGGTCTCAAACTCACAGAGATCCACCTGCCTCTGCCTCCTGAGTGCTGGAATTAAAGGCGTGCACCACCAATGCCCGGCTGCAATATGTATTTTTTAAAAATTCATCTTACATACTTGTAGAAAAAAATCATCTAGGGCATTCCTCTGCAACAGCACTTATTCTCCCAACCTATACTTTTCTAATACACTAATTAGCCGTATGATAGTTGAATGAGAAATGTTCCCTACAAGTTCAGACTTTTAAACAGTTGGTCTCCTGCTGATGCCTCTGCTGGAGAGATGCAGCCTTACGGCAGAGAGTACATCACCGGGGACAGGCTTTGAGAGTTCACCGCCTTGCACCCTCTTCCCTTCTCTCTCCGCGTCGTGCTTGCAGGCAAGGGTGTCACTGTGCCTAACACGGCATAATGGACTGATATGGCTCCGGAGACAGCTAAAACAAACGCTTTCTTCTTTAACTTTCCTCTGGAGATGGTGTTTTACCACAGAGACAGAAAAGCAAAGTGACACACATACCCTAAGACATTGTACCACTTCCATGAAAATTTGAAATTTTTAGTTGGACCTTAGAGGACAAATTTTAAGACTTTTTGACAATGAAATAAATCTCAAAAAAAAAAGAGCAGAGACTGTTAGTTTTTTAAATCAATTATTGATGAGAATAACTTTGTCTAATTTTCTTTTTGTCTTAAATATTTTATCACATTTATGTGTGTGTACATGTTCATGTATGTATGTATGTGGTGTATGTGGTATGTGGTGAGTGGTGTGTGATATATATATATATGTGTGTGCATATGTGATATGTTGATGTGGGTGAGTGTGTGAGTGTGGTGTGTGTATGTGTACATGTGTGTGCACATGTGTATACACATAGATACCATGGCACAAATGGGGGGGTGCCAGAGGACAGTGTTCTGGAATGAGTTCTCTTCTGTCATGTGAGTGGCAGGGATTGAACCCAGGTTCTCAGGATTCACAGTAAGTACCTTTACACAATTGGTTTTCTTTCCAGTCCTTGTTCATTTGTTTATTTCAATTACAACTTAAAAAAAATCAAGCTAAGTATTTCATATACATTTAAAGAAAAATGTTAAATTTTATGAAGCATATTTAAGAAGAAAAAGAGGAAATGACACTTCTAGTTCAGGGTTAGTGCCACATAAACTTTAAAACGGATGCTGTGTTGATGTGGTATAGCTTGATAAGTTGACTCAGTGGGCCATGAGAAACAAGAAAAATACATGAAGTGAGGACAGGTAGGTGTGGGGGGAATGGTGGACCTGGGAGGAGTTGGGGAAATGGGGAGTGGATATGATCAGAATATATTGTTTATGCATGTATGAAGTGATTTAAAATACTGTAGTTAAGAACTGTTGTCATTAGCAGTAGGTTTCTTCGAGGCCTTTTCCATACAGTGTACAGTCCTACGGCAAAGGCCTTTAAAGAAAAGCAGGCAAAAAGTGGTGCATCCACACTGGGATTCACCGAGGAGCCAACATAAACACATTATGCTCACTTGGAAGAAGAAAACACAAGAAGAAAAACATCCACCTTGCCTACTGGCATTAAGTCATGCCCAGCTTGAATGAGTTTCGACTTTAAGGACGTTTTCATGAAAGAGTTAAAAGCTGCACTGTGCTGAAGAACTTATCACTACCCTTTTTGAAAAATGTCCACCTTGCCTACTGGCATTAAGTCATGCCCAGCTTGAATGAGTTTCGACTTTAAGGACATTTTCATGAAAGAGTTAAAAGCTGAAGAACTTATCACTACCCTTTTTGGCTCACAGAACTAAGGATGCCACTGAAGCGTGAAATGCTAGACTCACAATCAAATTTGATTGCCCTGAACCTGCCAAGAGTAACCACACATGAGTCTCTGAGAGGCACCCTGGCTGCTGAGCCAACAAACAGTAGACAAACAATAAAGCCACTTGCATGCTCATAGAATGACTATTAATTAATTTCAGGCAATGGGGCTTCCGTCATTGATATGGTGTTTTTAAATTACATACAAAGTGGAAAAAATCGGATGATTCACTCAAAGGATATTTTCGTGTCTTTTCAAATAAAAAATAATTAAATTTCTAAGTATCTCAATCATAATAATATGTTTCATTTAGCTAGTAAAAATGTTTGATAATGGCAATAAGCATGAAAATCAGGTTTATGCAAGGGCCACTGAAAGAAGGAGCCTTAAACTAAGAAGCTTCAAACAAACAAACAAACAAAAAGTCCCAAGTACAACATAAAACATTCTACCTCATTCTCCCCTTATAATTGGAGCATTTCATATTTAACATTCAGAGAATGCAATTCCAGAAACACTGTTAAATTGACAACCAGACCTGGAGCCTCACCTTTAAATAGAAATCTGGTGTTTAACTCCAATAAACAATGGGGGGAAAGTGCAGTTTTACACAGCCAAGTAAAAATAATAGGATCTCTTGGTAATCCACTCCTTCACTGCCTCTCCTATTCTCTCTTCTCCCCATCTTCTCCCCTCTCTGCTTCTCCAACTCCTCCCTCTCGTTTTCTCTTTTCTTAATGTATGTCACTTTATCTCCCTCTGCAGACCAGGCTGGCCTGTTTGGAATTAAAGGTGTGCAGGACCACATCTAGCTATGATCACTGCCGTTTTGAAAGCATCTCCTTTAAAACATTTGCTTTCCTCCCTTCTTTTCTCCAGCCAGTCACCTTTACAGTCTCCTGTCAGCATCCAGTACGCTGGCTTTCGGTTTTCAGATATGAGTGGCATTGCGACAAAAGAGTTGGACAATTTCAAAGTACTGTTTTTATCTTAAGCCAAGGGCTCAAGGTGACACGGTGAAATGTTCCCCACAAGCTCATGTATTTGAATACTTGGGACCCATTTGGTGGGTGGCATTGTCTGGAGAGGCGGTGTCAACTTTAGGAGGTATGGCTACGCTGAAGAAAGCAGCTCTCTGGGGAGAGGTAGAACTTGGGAGTGATAGCCCACCCCTACGTCTGCCCAGATCATTCTCCTGTGTCTCTGTCCGCATTTCCTAACAGCCAACTCAATGTGCTAGCTACCTCAAAGGCCCACAGGAATGCCTTCCCCTCTGTCACAGCTTCACCACAAAGGACCAGACGCTCTCCAATGTTGGGCCAAAATAAATCTTTCCTTCCTGAAGTTGCTTACTTCTAGTATCTCATCATGGTGACTAAAAAAAAAAAAAAAAGAGTAATACGCCAAGGGACAAGTTAAAAAGATGAAAAATAGAATTGAGATCAACATCGAGCTTAATTCCAAGATTAGACACATAACACTCCACAGCCTAGATATGGAAGCAGATTCTCA